CACATGCTAAAGTCTGCAGCTGGTTTGCACTGGTCTGCACATTGTGCAAAGTGTGTTTGCGCACCAGATTTTCCATGCACCTCTGTCTTGAATGCCCATCATGATGCGAGGAATAGGGAGATAGCTGAAGCCATTTTTATAAAGAAAAACAGTAATAAGTGCGTCAGTACACCATCTGTATCAGCATTAAATGGTGAGATTGCGTTTCTTGACTGCACCTGATGTTGATCCTTCCCCCTGTAACCCTCTTTTCCCCCATCCTTTTTTGCGTGTGGACCTTTCTAGCAAACTACCCGATCTGCCTTCTCACTTTCTCACAAGTTCTGCTTTTTAAGGTCGTCTTCTTTCCGTATGCTCCCCTCTCTTCGCTCTATCGTAACTCTTTTGCCAGTTTCTCGCAAGTCTGCCTTTTATCACAACTGCACCACCTGTTTCTGCAGCTCTAAGACACGGTCTGTTTGTGCAAGGTTCATTCCGCCCTTCTACTGCATCTCCCACTAGCATTGACACAAATACAAAAAAAGTGAGTAAACTAAATAGGTCATTATTTTCACTGTATATGAAAATGAAAGTAAAGAACTAATGTTGATTTGCTGACAATTTATCTTCCAAATTCAATTACAAGTGCTCTAGAATAAAAGCTACAGAAGCAGTAATATCCCTACACTTTTTTTGAAGCCCTTCATGACCTCTCTGTTCAACGTCCACAAATACTCCTGTTTAACTGTCTTTGGACACACGATGCCATATAAATTAAAAAAAAAACAGCAAAACATCATTATTCCACTCAGTGATGCTAAGAGCAGGTGTGGCTCTGGTCATTCAAGTTATCTAAGGAAGTGGAACACACCACTTGAAATAATTTGACAACTAAATCATTCCAATAAGACATTAGATGAGAAGACACACACAAAAATAGAGAGAAATATACTTAGCAAGAAGCCACAGATGATTCACCAAAAAAGAAATTCTGTCAAATTCATGCAAATGGAATGAAAAGATGACACGACCGACAATGACGCAAAGAAGTGGTGCCCATGTAACTGTTTTAAGGTATAAAGTTTATCATAAATGTAACAATAGCGGAACATTCTTTCAGACTTCCTGATATTTAGATAGCAGTATTTTCTCATTAGATGCTAAGGCCAGTAACGCAAGCCAGACTAGAGAAAGACATTTAAATGCAGCTTTACATTTCTTGGAACAAAAATAAACTATCTGAGGCACTCAACAGATTAAAGTAAGACCCCAAACAAGAATGGACGGCACATATTAAAGAAAACGCCTCAGCAAGAGATAAGTGACAGAAGAGATTACAGCACTTCAATTGTAAAGATGACATGATAGTCCTACAAATGCATGTGCCTCATGTAATAGAAAAAGTGTTCAGCATTAAAAAGACTCATAAAATGAAGTCACAAAAGCTTTGCTTATCCAGACATAAAACATTATGCCCCAGATATTTTTTTTTCTATTTCTTCTTTCGAGCCGTAGAAATGACCTTCCTGTATTTATGACATACACACATATATGCATGTAGCTTGTTTATCCTGATGCCTAAATAGATGAATAAGCCTGACTAAGAATCACAAAGTTAGCAACTAGGCATTACTGACATTAATGCTATCACCATAGACACCGTCTTACCATAATAAAAATATTGTGTGATCCGACATATGCTGCTAATTCTTTATGCAAAATTGACGTATAGCTAATTTATTAAATAATTGCTCAAATGACAATCCATTTGCATTTGCTAGCCTACACACTATCCTAAGCAATGTAAAGTGGAAATAAAAGGAGTGAAAGAAGAGAGCCTTAATTTTCATTTAGGAAATGATAGTAGTGAGAATATGTAAGGTAACTTCAGGTGCCTTGTTGGAGAAATAATTATGAATGTTAAAAAGTATATATGCAAGACAGCATACATACTGCGCTGCATAAAGCTGCAACTGGTGGTACATTTTATCAATTCCCTGCTTTATTGACAAAAATAATAAAAACATCAGAATACTAAGTAAGTTGAGAATAAGAATGAAAATCAGGCCTCTCAGTTTCACGAGTTGGACAGTTGTGCAATGTATTTATCCATTCTAATTGGCAATAGTGCGAAAACAAACTCAAATAAAACTCAGCCACGAAGTGATTAACACTGCAATTGTGCATCTGTGTAAAAAAAGATGTTGCAAGTAAGCAGTACAACAAGAGAGAATGCATGCCTGAGATATTGATAGACTACCCTCGAGAGCACTGCCTGAAGTAGTATAGGCTTGCATACCCACCTTTTCTCTCTGGCTCAATCTCTCTTCTCGTTCCAGCTTTCGAAGCTCCTGGACAAAGTCGTTGAACATGCTTTCTCGCTCCCGCATCTTCTCTATATTCTTGAACCTCTCATCCTTACCATATTTTTGTGCAAAGTCACTGAATGTCGACCTGTAAGTATAAACAAGGCACACAACGTAAGAAAGCTCAGCATAAATAGTTCTAAGAAATTCCAGTCAAAGGTACAGGCATACTTCACCACTACACACCTAAAAACTGTGGCATATGCAGTTAAACCTTGAAATAACAAAGGCTGTAGAATCGGCACCAAAAGTACAGCCCACAAAAGATCCATTTTTACATGAAAAGTGCCACAAGAATGTACAAATAATACTGCAGCAAGAAAATATTTTCAATATTATACAAAAAATAAATTTGATTGAACCAGAGATCCAGGCAACATGGTTTAACGCCACAGTGGCAAAGTTCTTTTCATAGCATTCGTACATACTATCTAGCACAAGGCGAGAGAAATGAGCCAGCAAGGCTGCGAATTGTTTGCTGGCATAGCTGAGCTGTTGGCTTCAAAGAACCAGATCTCTCACTTTGTAGTGGACTATCTGATGCCAGTGGTTGCAGTGTGCCTTGTGGGGGAGCACACGTTTCATTGATGGAGGCACGACCTGTTTAGCAGGCGAGGACAGCCCGATCCCTCAGACTGAGACACTAGAGCTTTTCTGCCAACCCCTTCAAACACACAGCCAGCGCATGCCATTCCTCACATTCCTTATTCGTGGGAAAGAGTGCTCTTCCTCATTGAGGGAAACAACCTTCACAGGGGAGAGGTAAACCAGTATTGCGGACAAAACCAACAAGCAGACAGGGGTACGCTCGTAGTTGTACCAGCCAGCAGCCATGAATGCTTCACCTCCAAAACCCCTGCCAGCCGGCCATCACCTAAAGAACCAAGCCTTACCCTTTCCTCTAATCATAGAGAGGACTATCTCTCTACACAACATTTACACATTATTGCTAATGTAGCGACTAAGCGTTGTTTTGTTGATCTAGCCTGTTGCCTTACTCGTCCCAACCTGGTCTAGCTGTGATGACTCGAGTTACAGGGAGGGGTCGCTGATATGCACACAGTGTGACTGTGTAAGGCTGAAACCGAAGCTGGGCTTCTACACAAGCCATGCATAGAGCAGACCTTTTCAGCCTTCCGACCTGTATAGGCTCCTTCCATGTATAACTTCAGGAAATTGCTGGGTAGTCATCATCACAAACCATTTGACATGATGCAGTGAAACCTCTTTAATATGTACCTGTCGGTAGTGGCGGCCTAGCTATACACGAAACTTACTGTGTATTAACCACCAGCTACAACATGAAGATAAAACAAAGCAGTTGGTTCATGATGCAAATAACTCAAGAAACGTACAACCTCAAGTCCTATTGCGTGTTTCTTTGTCATTTTTTTTCACCCTGCGTCCAGTTGCATCATAAAGATGCCACGCTTTCCAATGCCCCGCTTGCCAATGCCACGCTCATTCTGAGCTGTCACTGCTTCCCTCGTCAGTGGCTTATCTGCCACTGTCTTGAAATAGTGCGCGATTCTCGCTGCCATCAAGCATATTGGATAGATATGCCGACACTTTTTAAAGGAGCGCACAAGTTCCCGGGTCGTCGTTCCCCGCTGCAGCTCCTCCAACAATGTTTAAAGTACCGCCCGGCTTGAACCTTGAATGATGACTACGTGGCTAAGACAAGGTTCCTTTTATAAGCGGCACTGTAATGACACTGGCTGTTTGGTGCGAATAAGCTATGCCCCACACAGATCACTCGAGGCGCAACTCGAAATGACGAACGCTCGCCCCAACGCTCGCCACAATGATCAAAATGGCAACCTCACGTGCATACCATGGATGGCTTGGCTACTAACGGACTTTGATGCCAAGAAATTAAAAAAAAAAAACTTTAAGCCAAGACTAAATAAATATGGTATTTGAAGCTGTGAACACCATGCCAATGTTTGCCCGAGCACCCACTTTTTTTAGGTTGCCCAAGGAATGCTTGGCTGCAGTAAGAATCACAGAGCATTCTAGCACTTTGCTGTGATTGGCACAGCTGCACCACCCATGAGAGTCACTTCACTCAAATATGCAGCTCAAGGTATTTTCCCAGAGAAGCTTCTTGTCATGAATAATTAGGAAGAAAGCTTCTAGCCACTGGAAGGAACTTGTAGCACACATTACAGCACATAATCGCACAGTCAGTTGGAATTTTTAAAAAATTGCAACATATCCAAGAGTGAATGACGGTGACTGGGTGCAGCTTTGGAAGAACAGTGGTTAACCATGAAGCCTTCGTAAATATTGCCAACTTAATTGTCATGTAAAGACGTGACAAACACTTTGTGCGCTTTTCACCGCCACTCTGTGGGCTCTCAGCTTAGGATCGTCTTGCTGACACTCTCATGCGCCTTCGGCTTCGCGAGCTCTCACTGCAGCACGTGCTGCAGCCACTGCAGACAAAGACGGCGGAGGGTTTGTCGCTCATACGTGAAGCACACAGACTGCCAGAAAACAGGAGTGAGCGCCGCAGCACCTTCTAGCGGGCTAACCGAGTACTAGCGGTGTGAGCGCCACAGAGCCATCGCTATGGCAGTGGCTACTGCAACTACTACGACGCCGGATAAGCCTATGCCTTAAAGCTATGCTCCTAAAAATTGAGCATGTCACTTACTTGCTGTTGAGGCCAGCTGTTTCAAGCAGCTGCTGGAACTGGTCCTTGCGTTCACGCATCTTGTTTCGCTTCTCCCGTCGTTCCTCCTCGGCACGCTCCTTCACATATTTTTCAAATACCTGTTTGCGCTCCTTAGACGTCAACAGCAGGTACCGACTGTCGAATACAATCTTGTGCAGCTCCTTTTCCCAAGTTGAAAATGCCGACACCTGCACCAATAATTATAGGCACTTAGCAATTAAAAAGGTGAACTTCTTCAAGGGAAAACTTTACTGTAATACGCTAATTCTGCCCTCACATTGAGCTGGGTTTTAGCCAGTGAGCTTTGCTTCAATTTAATCAAGATGAACACAAGTTGCCCAGCTCAATCAGGGCTTCACGCGTTTCACTCTTTGACGCAGCTCAGGAAACAGGAATTATGCTATTTTCGAGCAGCTTTGAAGCACCAAAAGTTCTGTATATTGAAGAAGCAACCAGACATGAGGGCAAGTCTGGTTCGGTTGCTTCATCAGTATTCAATATTTAGTAAAAACCACTGCAATTTACAAACACACACACAGCACACGCTGAACATTATGACATCAAAGCTGAATGTGCACCAACTCCAAGTCAACAAAACATAAGCAACACTTTATTCTTTATTCGAAGTATACCTGCAGCACCCTAAGGCGTTATAGCAGGGGAGTTACAGATTCGGAAAAAAAAAAAACAAATTTTCATTTACAGCAGACACTTGTACACTTGTGAGCCCATTCCACTCATGTATTGTTCTGACAAAAAAAGAATTTGCAAAAATTCCAGTCCTGGGACGGTATTCCCTTAGTTTAAAAGGATGATCAATTCGATTTGACAAATAATACGGCGTCTGTAAATACATATCCTTATTGATTCCAGTTTTATTATTAAATATTAGATATAAAAGTTTTAATTGCAATTTTCTTCTACGCGATGAAAGCAGCTCCCAACTCAATTCTTGTTTCATAGCTATTAGACCTCAGACTAATGAAACTAATGAAAAATGTCCACGACTGAGCCACCTAAAAGTTTGTGGTTTTCAACAAAAACTAGTTGTAAAGATTTATTTTGCCAATACAGACTAGAAAAGTGGGCTGTAAAATAATATTCAAGTGCAAAATAAGGCTTAGAAGTCATCAGTTCAAAGCCCCGGCGACCACCATTTTACCATGGCGCATGTGGCGTGATGTGCTAGATGGAGCACAGCCGTCGTCTTCTACCAAAGTTTCAGCCACTGAAAAATGTTCAATTTCAGTGCCAAGCTGAAGAAGGCTACATTATCTTAATTCCACATGCATCTCACCATAGAACAATATCGGTCGCTAAAAAGCAGACGCTCGCATGGCTAGGTGCTTGTTACATTACAGAAAGTTAATGAGTGGTCTCATTATGCCTCGAGATAGCGCGCGCCGGCAACTTCAAGCGACGTAGCAGCCTCAACTCCACCCCTCCCTTCAAAACAAAGCAACAAATGCGATGCCGTGATGTTAATTTTTTTAACAGTCAGCTATCGACCCTGGAAAGCGAGAGGCGGACGTGTAACAAGGCATAGACACTTCAAAGGCTTTCCGACACCAGAGCCGTCAGCGATGGCTTTATGCTTTTATAAATGAGATGACATTTAAAAAGAAAGCATGCGAGAATTTTCCATTCAAACCCTAGCAACCTCGAGTTCGAAAGGGTAGGGTCTTTTAGGGGCTTTTATCGCCGCAGTGATTATAAACACGGATGTGCTGGTGAAAGGACTTACAAAAAAGCTCTTCTGTAAGATGATTCATCGATAAAGTATATTAGAAAAAAAGTGTCAACGTGTTCGCACAATTTACATGTATTCTGCATACACAAAGCACGAAAAATTAGATAGAGATGTACAGACATATATGTGACAGATATTCTGGCGATACGCGCGCAGTTATTAGTGAAAATTGCTTTATTACACGTTGCGCAACTCTTCAAACACACTACCAGCAGCATTCCTGGAACGGATGACAAATCGCCTTCATGTTACCACTTGGACTAGACGTCACGAGCCCCTGCGGAGAGCGCGTTTTGCCATTAAGCGGACTTGTAAAACAGAGTTGTGTGGGCACCACAGCTAATTCAACGAAATAAAATAAGAACATAATTGTGACTTTGGTGACCCCAAGAACAAGGTGCTCATGTACTGACGCGCCGGCGTGGCTATTGCTGGTGATAGATGCTCCCAAATGTGACTATCGTAGCTTATCGCAATTTCCGTTGATATTATCAGGATGGCACAGTAAATCTGATTTGGCGTACTTTGGCACAGTAGGTGTAGGAGCGTGATCACTAGAAAGTGCATTGTGCTGCTGTTTTTTAGGAGCAAAGCTCCTCACAGGGTCGATGCTCGTTTAAATGAGAAAAATTCAAGGGTTTTCAAGTACTTTCAGGTCAAAGCAAGTGAATTTGCCATTGTCTGTTAGAAACCTAAATAACGCATGTTCGGGGGAGGATAAAAACTTGAAATAACTATAATTTAAAAAAAAAAGAGGGTAACATCACTTGAGCAGATGTCCAACATGGCTCCAATTTTTATTCAGATAGGAAAAAATAAGGAACAGTCATTATGCAATGCCCTTTTGCTTTTTCTGAATTTTGATATCAACATCCACTATCTCCTGCTGCATGGTCTTCGCAGTCTTCCTAAGGCTGTTTGACTTGATGATGCACGTGAGATCCCCAATTGTCTCTGCCTTTTCAGCATATGAGTCTGCTGTAGCTGTTAATTCCTTAATGGCGGCTGCTAGTTTCTTTTTCTTTTTTGTAAGCATTTTGACCACCTCCTCAATTCAACATTTCTTTTTCTGTTTCTCATCCTCCTACTCCTGCTTTTTCTGAGTGTCCAGAAATGCACGGTGTTGGTTCCGTGCAGAAGCTACTGATGTTCTCAATTCTTTTGTGATAGGCCCATTACATATGCCACCTGCTACATTTATGGCGTCACAAATAATCAGCCGTGAAATCTGCAGTTTATTTAAAAAAAAAAAGCAAATTCAAGGATTTTCAAAGATATGCGAAAATTCCAGCACTTTCAAGGCCTTGAAACAAACTTTTCAAATTCAAGGGTCTTCAAGGGTTTCAAGGATGCACATGAACCCTGTCCTTAGGCCCACACTCTGCATTCGGAGCTCCCTGCATTGGGCAAGCATGCCTAGCAAAACCACAGGTGCACGTTTCGGGAACAGAGAAAGCACAGGCACAGCGGCAGATGGCTTGCGCTGCGCGCGATGTACACTTACTCGTTCAGTCATTCCTGCCACTGAAACCAGCTGACACTCTAGCCTGCCCCTCCCTACCTACTGCCTTCATAAAGGCCAGCAGCGAGATCAGGCACATAGTCGTTTGTGTCCCATTTCTAACGAGCTTCGCTCAGCGGTTGTATTCAAACATGAAACAACTGCTAGTTTTTTCTTTTTTCCCTTTCAAATTTATGACAAGCAGTCAGTTGTTGCGTGGTGTGCGTGAGCATGTGTGACTGCTGGATTGGCTTGGCTAGCTTTCGTACTTGTTTCATATTGCTAGACTACCATGGTCATTTCCAATGTTCATTTCACTCATTTCAGTTACATTTAACTGATTTAAACAAAAGGAATATTCAGATAACTCGAAACTTTATAGCATTAAATATATTTTTCATATAACTGTGTTTTGTTTAATGGGAGTGCACTGTATGTCACTCAGTGGGTGCATGCGATAACTTCCCACGTGTTTGACCCCGCCAAATGCAGACGTGGCGGAAGAAGGCAACAAGAGGGGGGGGGGGGGGGGTGAGTCGCTTGAGCAGCAGCTGTGAACTTGGATTCTAAGGGCACATTCGCTATCACTCAACGTTACTAGAATAAATTCAGTTTCAAAGCTCCGTATCACCGCCAGTGGAGGAAAATGAGCCGAACGGCAGTCGCGAGAACTAGTGGCGCTGCAGTTTGATCTTGCGCAACTCTTGGTGCATCGTCTATCATCTGCTACGGCGGCATACCGCGGCAGTTCGCTGCGCTGTTCCTTGCAATGGCTTTCCTATTGTGCCGTTATCGAACTTAACCACTCATTATGCGCTTCCAGTCGACATTCTTGCGTTGCATTTGTGGACTAGACAAGGTCTCCTGTATATATTGGCACGGACGTCTTGCTCATTGCAAGTTGACTAATAATCGACGTCCCGCCTATATTTGCGCTGTCTGCATTCGGTTTAACCTCCAAGTATGGGAAATTCTACGTGAATGAACATTTTCGTAAAAATTCTATGACGACTGCTAGCATTTTAACTACTGTCATCTTGCCTAGACGAAAAACAACCCAATACATCTGTAAAAGCCTCTAACAAGTTAACTTACTGAAATACAAAAATTCTCTATAAACATAGTACTCCTGTTTTCTACTAGTTACAAGAAATAAAATACTTTCTTTAAGAATTCACACTGTTCATTGGACAAGTCTTCGCGACGGCTACCAATCGAGGGCAGAGTGCAAAGTGTTGCAGCAACTTCACCTCCTTTCTCGCATTTCCTTCCTTTCCAGAAAGCTCCTGATTGGTTTTCTTGTTAAAAAAAAAAACAAACAAACAAACATTCACGAACAATGTAAAACATAACCCTCACATTCTCATGAAAAGGATTATAACTCAAAAGATGCAGTGGCAGCCACTCCAACTTTTCAAGTACAATACAGAAGAGGTCATCAACCAGGGGGTTTTAGTGAAAAGCCTCCCAACAGTTTTTTCAATTGCTTTTAAAGTAGAAAAAAGGCCGTGTAAGGCATGATCTAGACAGCCTTGTTGAAAACACCTCATTTGAATGAGTGCACTTTCGTTTGGTTTGGGCCCACCTGCTGCAGGGGTACTTGTGAAAAATACTAGAGGCCCTCTTTGCATGTTGTCACTTATTCAATTTTTTATAAAGGTACCCACAGATGTAGTACACTCATGGTGAGCTACTTCCAGGTGCGCTTCGCTGCACTGAGAAGTGACACCGACGTGTGCCACCGTTACCTGCTCTAAGATCCAGAAACGAGAACACTGCGATTGAGAGAAATATCTACTGCTGTATTATGAAGGAAATGTAACAAAACCTGGTCACTGGCAGAACACCATCACTTGCATACGTTTGTATTGCTTGATAAGAGAAACATATAATAAAGCAAAAATATCCTCTGCTTTTAAGGCAGCGGGATAGTTGGGAATTGCTCGAACGTAAGTATCGACAGCGTTACTCGTCGAGTGCCTTTCGTCTTGCTGTTTTATTTCTGGCGGCTCCTCCAAACTGGGCCCTGAGCATTCAAGGGGTGCCATGTATTTTGAGGAGGGGGTGGGGGGGGGGGGGGGGGGGGTTGGTTATGAACATTTCGGCTTCAATATATGGGGTGGAATCGCTCACAAGCGCGAATGGGACACCGAGTGCGAGCTCCCACTTTCCACGTGTGATCAAGACAGACTACTTCTCGAGCAAGACATGACGGTTGTGCGTTACGATGCCGTCATTCTCACACTGCGCATCATAGACTTTGCGTTTGCCAGTGAGCTTTCTATCTTTGCGACGCAAAGCTTGGTACCACCTTCTGAACTGTGCCGGATTTTTTTGGAGGTCTGTCACGGTCAACATCAATTGGTTTACACCCCAATTAAGACAAAATGTTGGCATGCAACTGATTCACTTTGCTACACCTGATTTAAAAGTTCTACTACAGTAACATGGTCTTAAACTGTTTCGATCTTCTGGGAACTCTCCCGGGTCATTTTTGTTGGAGGTTGGAACTGCCTTTAAGTCTGTGCTTTGATCATGCTCTCAAATTAAGTTGTAGAATAAATGACAGTCTCTTTCCCTATACTAATATTTATAATTTTTATGCATTGTATATTATTTGAACACGATAGCTTTATTGAGCTCGTATCGCAGAAATTCCGGTGTTGGCGTCGCCATCAGCGCCTCCGGTTGTGAGTGAGAAGAAATCATCTTGCCCGTGACAAAAAAAAAAAAAAAAAAAAGCCAATAAAAAAAACAATAAAAACAATAAGACAATAAAGCGAGCTCTTATGTTTACAATTATATTGCTCATTTAGTAGAAGGAATTTTTTCAATCCACGCAGTATTAACTGGTACAAGCATAGAATTGCGCCAGGCGTCTTAAACATGTGAAATGGGCAACGAGTGAGTGTTAGAAAATCCCAGCCCTTACAGGGCGCTCAAACTTATGTTCACGTGTTGCTTTACGCATGCGTAAAGGCCCCTTAGCCGATTCGCAAAAGGAACAATTATGGCGCTATGGGCACTTCACAACTATACATGCAGTAGACATTCTACGATAGTTTGAGGCGGCCAGTGTTGCACGCTGTGGGAATTGAGGCTCACCTGCTGCCTTTGCGCGGGCTTTGCCGCCTTTTCTGCCGTTCTTACGTACCGACATGTCTCCCCTTCTCCGCTGTCTGCCGCGCTGAGAGAGCGAGTGACGTTTAACCCCCTCACCTGGTAGCGGATGTTGACTGTGGCACCGCGCGCAGAGTCTCCCGAGAGGTATTGCGCGCGAGCGTCGGCAGTACAGAGAGGCCTCTTCAGGGACGACATGGGGGTAAGCACGCTTTTCTTTCCCGCCCGTCAGCTCCCTGTGGGGCTCGTTCAGACTTCGCCAACAGCGCCTTGCGCCCGCGGCGAACGCTTACCTTTTTTCGCCACCCCCCCCCCACACTCCCGAATGCTAGGCCAAAGAGTGGTGCGGGTTCCTAGTGCGTGGCCAGGCAAAGCCGACCCGTATCGCTCCGAAGCCAACGGGAGCGCCTTTGCCCTCGCTCGAGCAACCGGGCCTTGGTCCCGGTGTCTCTGTGAATCACTTTTACCATGGAGACGTGCTCGTGGCACCCTGTGTACTTTGCGCCCGTGGCGTGGGTAAGCCCATTTGCTTTCCCGCCGCGCCTTTGCAACGGGCTGTACTGCGTTTTAGTGTTGCCACAGACAATAAAGTGTTGCGACTTTAAGCAGTATCGTGTTCTCGCCATGGCGACGGTTAACGCGTGCCCTGCGGCTCGCTAAGACCGGACCCACGCTAGTGGCCGTACTCCTTCATTCCCTCACAGCATGGTTGAGGCATACACCGAGACAGAAGCTCGGCTAGTAATTGAGAAGGTGGTTGGCGCAGGGCCCGGTTACGCTATTGCAGTCTACTCTTGAAGGTGAAGCTCAAGCTTCCTCCAAGTTTCGTAATTGTTGTGATAGTGTTGTGTAATTGTTGTCGCACAATATACATAATACTCAACAGCGTCACCTCTGCCATATCGGCCAAGTGCTAGAAGAAGAAGAATTTTTATTTTCGCTACAATATGAATTCTCTCGGGTAACGTACAAGGCTAGACAGCAAATTTGTTTACGATCGTTCGTCTGCATGCCCGTCACTGCTGGGTGAAAGAAATTGGATGCTACATAAAAGCTTCTCAAGCTGCTTATAGCAGCTTTTATGTTGGCCCACGCCATTGTGTAACCATGTTTACACAAAAAATAAATTCATTAATAAACAAATGAATAAACAAGTTGCATGAAGCGGCGTCATTGCGGTTGTCGCTGTTGGAGCCTGGCGAAAGTTAGTCTGTGTACCTCAATGTAGATAAATCTGCTCCTGCTCGCTACGCCTCGTACATGACAAACACGTTTTCGTACAAGAAACTATGCAGTGCCAATAACAGCCCGAGAAGTGATGTGGGAATACAACACACCATTCGTGGTAGCCGCTTGCAGGTCGCCACCACCGATCACAACACGCACGCCCCGCATCGCTGCAGCAAAATCGTACTGCAGCGCCATTAGTTTTCATGACCGCCACGCGACCCACTTCTCCAGCGGAGCTTTCAAACTGAGTTTATTCTAGTAACGTTGGCTATCACTGGAATCAACGTTGTCTTGGGAAGCAACAGAGCATGGCTCGTATAACCTTCTAAGTGCTGCGCTGCGAACATGGTGAAACCGTGCGAAAACAGCATTTCTCCCTGGAGCGGCCATATTCTCTTGCACCAGTATTTCGTAGATTTACACAATATTGGATCCAGAAGAGTTAGCTGCCAGCTTTACGTCGAATAATGTTCAATTTGTTGCTATTGCATTCGTAGCTTCACCCTTGCCCCCTTCATCGCAGAGCGCATGCTGTCATCAGGGGTTGCTTGGCAATGACGTGGCGAGTTTTTTGCAACACCACTGTCATCTTTAGGGTTTGACTAACAGTTTCACAGTTAAAAAATAGAGTTGCATAATGAGGTCTGCTCAGAAACGTCACATTAACAAGATTAACGCATTTGGTTCAAATGGCGCAAGATTCATGCTTGGTGTTTAGTTTACACGTCGTGCAAGCACTATACCTCAACCGAAATACGACGTGAATGACGTGGTATATGGACGCAATTGCGTCCTTTGTGTATTCCGAAATACGACGTGAATGACGTGGTATATAGACGCAATTGCGTCCTTTGTGTATTCAATGTGTGTTGCTCCGTCAACGATAAGACTCTGCTAAATTTGTTGCTGTACATGCTTAGTGCCATCTCTGCACAGCTTGGCACAGCAGGTCAGATGGGTGCAACATAGTGGAATTGGCACAGCACTTATACAGCCCTGCTCAATCGCAAATCCTTGTACTGACAGTGTAACTAGAACAAAATAGAACCTACCTCTTTTTCAACCAGCATGTCTCGGAAGCGCTGCATGCGCAAATCCAATGGAATGGCCGCTCGTTCCTTGGCTGCCCGCAGTTCTGCTTCCATGGCAGACTCCTTACCCTGTGCCCGCAGAGCTGTCAATAAGGGCTCCTCTGTCTTGGTCTCAGTGGCACCATTCTGGGCTTCTGTCCCTTCAGCAGCACCTTCTTCCCCTTCTTCAAGCCTTAGAACACAAAGCATTCCATGCTTAAAAGTAGGTTTCCTAGAAGATAGTGTCAGCTTATACCAATCTTCTGAATTTTACCCCACAAAAGGATAGTAAACATGTTTTTTCACCAAGACCTTTAGTCCAAAAGAGAGCTAAGGCAACTAAAGTGCTAATACAATACTGTTTTTTAACAGAAATTATGGGGAATTGTCTTTTTTTTCTAACACTAGCGACCATGCATCAAAATGAGGTTGTGACCTGAACGCTACCGAATACCACATTATTTAAGACTTCAGACTATGCAAATAGCAAAATTTTTGGGTGCCAATCAATTACAATATTTTCTGAATATTGCAAAAATACTTTCCGAATTCTTCGAAGCGAATTGCAAAAGAAAAGTTGCAGAAGATCCCTCAGCATATCCTTACAAGATAGGAACATGAAAGCGTTTCGTTTGGCTACGTTGGTGAAGTGCTCGATGGGTGCTCATAGGTGGTTATTTAGTTAGTTCAGCTTTTATGGCGCAAAAGCAGGCGAGGATATGCTGTGCCAGGCACAAGGTGATAGGTAATTAAAGCTGAACTAATGTTATTTAAAGCTTACTTAAAAAGTCACATTCTTTTAAAAAGTTCAGCACAGAACTTGAAGGTACATCTCTGACAGAGTAGAGTAAACAGGCGTGTGTTTGTATGTCTGGCCAAAAAATTTTCGTCTGTGGGTTGCAGTGTTGGGACATGTGATCAGTACGTGTACAACTGTTAAGTACTTGACACTTTTCACCTGTTGGTTGTTGTTCATTTGTAAGCAAAAAGTAGTGAGTCAGGTGTGTGTGCCGAACACTGAGCTGGAATAAAATTACTTTATGAACCATTCTTGGTGACGACAAGTCTTCCATTCTCCAAGTACGTGCTTCACTTGATGAATCTCATTTGTGTGTGTGTCCCACTCTTACTGCTATTTAGCTAACAATGACGTGTGAACTGTTCGCTGGCTGCCCTTAAAGGCCAACTCCAGTGGTTTTTCGACCATGTCATGGCAATGGTGTTTCTATGTTCCTGAAACACTCTTGTCACGAGCCCACTAGCTGAAATGCTTAGGAAATTTGAAAATATTTTTTAATAAGCAAAAAAGATGCAATACCAAAACCGAAACCTAACCGGGTGCCCTGTCTGCATATGATGTATGATTTGATGAGAGCTGGAGGCCGTATACTGGTCTCGCCGGCGCGGAGTATAAAAACTATAAAAGCCAGACCGGCAAAGCGCCGGCCTAACACCACAGAGGAAGGAAGAAAGTTTTTTCGTGCTATACCCGTAAGAAACACCGCCGCCGCCGCTTTTTGGCCAGCACAATAAAGACTGTAGCGGCCAAAGTAACTATGCGTCACTTCTGTTGGCATGTCAAACATGTCACACAGACAGAGCAGCTAATAACTCCGGAAAACGAGGCGAGCTTTTCGAGGCAATCTTTAAAATTAATTTGCAAGCAATCAGCACATCTCTCAAGCCTGTAATTCGGCATACATGACGGAAATGTGCAAGGGAGCGTACCCAGTGAATTTCATTGAGATCCATTAATCTCGAAAAATCGCTGGAGTCGACCTTTAAGGAGAATTTGTTTCTTCCGTTACTGTTCGGCACGCTGCCAAAGAAGCAGATATTTAATGGCTGCTAACAGTGCTACCAGCGTTATGGAGCACCATCAAATAAATGCTTGAGCGCAGCGGGATCATGGGGGACCCAGGAGCCTGCATGTTCCAAACTCCTCTGTTCAAATAAAGTTTTCTTCCTCTTCCTGCTTTCTTATATCTAGATATTCTCATATCTAGGTGATTCAGCAGCGCCCATCGGCAGGGCTCGTTGCTCCCGCTTACGCACTTTAACCAGAGAGCAGAATTTTTTTATGCGTGAGGATATAATAAATTTCGACTTTAATAGAACATGGCTACAAAAATTTGTTGAGAGTGTCCACATAATTGCTCTCACAATAATACAGCTGTTTATGCCATTAAATATTTTATGCGAGCTCTATCTTCAGTTCCACTTTTGTTTATTTGTGCTTTCCTCATCCAAATTTTCGCACTGAAACTGCATGAAGCAAAAACATGTTTATATTAAAATTTTTTTCAGGAATTTGTCAATTTCATTAAACCCAGGTTTAACTGTATATACTCTGCCAACAACTCTACCAGTAGACACACCAACGAAAAAATAAAAATAAGGGGGGGGGGGGGGGGGGGGCAAAACGTGCAAATCTGCAGCATATGACAGATCAACCCTTATACCCCAAACCACTCTTGTGCTGCATGATCGCTTCACCCGTGAGAGCAGCATGTGTAGAGCAGCCTTATTCCTCAGCAAAGAGGGGTAAACGCTGTCGCTCCATACCCTTCAATACATACACCAACACGGCAAGGAGTGAAAACATGTGCTTCTAGGAAGGTTCGACTGATAGCATAACCTGTCAAAGCACACAAGATACACTAGTTTTGCACTCTGGCATGAATCCTTGAATGAAAAACAAAGATCATACTAAAGTGTCAGTGACACTGTGGGAAAGAAACGAGAGAACATACCAGTATGCCAAAGACAACAAAAGGGTTCAACACCAGAACTATCTAAATAACAAAAGTTTGGATGCGAAGTGAATTCGTACATTGAAGTGTGAGTGCAAATTGTGGGAATCACGGCTAGTCTGCCATTGTAGTGCGGGCTTTGACACCGTTCTCGTGACTTAACATGACTCCCCTTCTTCGCGGTCCGTCGGCGCTGGGGAAGCAGGAATGACGTAGACCCCTCTCACCTGGATGTAGAATGTGGAGCTGCACTCGAGTCTCTCGGGACGTATCGCGCACACGCACGTCTGGAGTCAGTCGGAGAGACCTTTTGGACATCGAAGGGTGAGCAGACGTTTTCTTTGCGTCCGTCGGCTCCCTTTCTTTGGAGCTCGCTCGAACTCGTGAACGGCGCCTTGCGCCCATGGCAAATGCTATCAGTGTCCCTGCGTTGCTGTAATCTGACCTTCAGTTTCATGGCCACATGTTCGGCCGAATAAAAAGTCTCATCTGAGCATTCAATCGTTTGCCTCAGTCCACGTGACACTTAACCACGTTTATTCTGAGCTTTACAACTATTTTTGAAAATAACAAGCCATTACAATGAGACGATGTGGCTTTATACAGTTTCCCTGTATTTCTACCGCGTTGCGTAAGCGTGCGCCCAAGGTTGATGTGCCTGTTTCATGGATGGCTTGACCTGTCGTTACTCTCTCGACACACGGGCCAAGTCAAGTCATCAAAAACGTCACTTTATGTCATTACTGAGACAAAGTGTAGGTAAGAAAACCACATCACTCTAAAATCTTAGCGACCTTGACACTTTGTGCATGCTTTCATCATGTAGAAAAGTTGCTCAATAGTGCTGAGAAGCGCGGGATCATCATGTCATGCGGAGGCAGCGCCAATTTATTGCGCGCTACTTACTCAGGCCTATAAGTACATTTTTATTTATGGAGTAATATCTTTTACTATAAAGAAGCAAACAATATTTCAACACTAACCAGAATATTGTTGACCGCTTACACTCGTTTACAACCGCGTGACAGGCCAGCTCGAATAATTGAAGTTTCTGTCTCCAGGTAGCGCCACAGGCTATTTTCTGGATTTTCAATGAAAAAATTAAAATATAAATTCACTTCTTACGAGAAAAACAAGCTTGGTTTTAGTCACTATAAAGGACAATCTTTCCATCCATGCAGTCATCCCATCTTCTGGGCAGTTGACAGTCCCTTTAAAGCGTTGCCATCCCAAACGCAACTTGCTCGTATCGGTCTATTTATTCTAAATGTAGTGAATAAGAAAGACGTTGATACCATCAGGTCAGCTATCATCAGCACAAGAAAAAGGCACGAGATCGGCGATCAAGCACCGTCATCTGGGTTCGCCTGCCTTCCTTTAGAGCTACGACCCACTTGCTGAGTCCTTCAGTAAACCCCCTTTACATTTGGTGGATTGTGCTGGGTAACTGCATCACCTACACCCTGGAACTCCGATCCCGCACCCTGCCGTCGACCATGCAAGTTGACGCTGCCCAACAGACAGCACCTCTCGCAGCTCCTACTTGCCCCGGCTCGGTTCACTAGCGAGACCCCCCGATCTTTTTGGGCGCCGAAGACCAGGACGTCGAGGACTGGCTGTCGTCCTACGAAAAAGTCAGTGGACCAAACAGGTGGGATGACGCTGCTAAGTTGAGCACCGTCAACTTTTACTTGGCTAATGTGGCGAAACTGTGGTACACAAACCACGAATCCGAGTTCGAGAACTGGGCCACTTTCAAGCAGGCAATATCCTCGGTTTTCGGTCGCCCTGCCGTGCGGAAGTTGCGCGCCGAACAACGCCTGCGCTCACGGGCACAAGAACCTGGCGAAACGTTTACCGCATATATCGAAGATATACTCGATCTCTGCAAGCGCGTCGATGCCGCAATGAGCGAAAGTGCCAAGATCCCGCACATTATGAAAGGTGTTGATGACGACGTCTTTCAAATGCTCTTGGCGAAGTCTCCTGGCTCGGTGTCTGAAGTGGTGAATCTGTGCCAGAACTACGACGAATTGCGACGGCAACGAGCTCTCACCCGTCGTCCATTTCAGCCTAACCAACCACTCGCTGCACTGGACATCGTACCTGACCACTCCCGCCTTCTAGCACAAATGAAAGACTTTGCATGTGAGGAGGTCGCACGTCAGCTTTCCCTCCTGCCGTTTGGTCAGCGCCAAGAGCTCCCGCAGCAGCAGCAAGAGCAACCACCGACACCGTTAGCTCCCATGCTCCGACATGCACTTCAGGACCAGATTGCCGAGGCTATGCCAGTGCCCTTTCAGCAGCAAGTTGTCGCCGCGCCTCTTACTTATGCTGACGCAGTAAAGAGGCAGCAGCCACACCAGCCCTCGCCGTTCAATGGACTGCCGCATATCACCGCTCCTACTCAGTTTTCCGTCGCATGGGCTCCTCCCCTTGC